CAAACGACGAAGCATTTTGGCATTTGGTAACTATAAAATTGACAATAGCTATGACATGACCTGTTCTCAACTTTATTCATCAGTTTTTCAAAAACATAATTTTGAAAATACTTCCCGTGAATTTATTAGATTTTTTTTTATTCCTACTATGTATAACAGCAATTTATCTTATACAATTGCCATAAATTCAGTAATTTCATACATCCTTAAAAAACAGAAGTTGACTCGTCAGTATTCTCTCGTGAATCGAAACATTCAGTTTCACGTTTTAATCTTTTATTTTTTGTTAAATAGCCTAAACGTATGCTCATTAGTTCTGCGAACTACCGGTTACGGATCACTGGCTACGACCTCTGGCTGCGGAAGGTGAGTCTACTCACTCATTGTTAGCCGGCAACGACTGATCGATTGTTCCGCTCAAACGGAATGAATATTCACGGTTTCTCTAGGTGACGGTTGTTCGAAACAGAACAGACACTTCCAATGATATTACTGCAGAAACTACTGACTATGAGCAAAATTGGAACGCATCCAGATGCAGTCACCTTGAAGCGATAATGATCGTTTAATTAATCGCGATTTATGTTCGATAATACTAATGTATAATGTAATAACAGTTCTCTGTTTAATTATAGGACGTAAAATTTAAAAAAACGGTAATTTGATTCTATATTATTAAGCAAAAAATGCAAATGAAAAATGGATATTTTGTTCATTGCGGAAAGTAGGTAAACATTTCGAATTGGTATTAAATATTGTTACGAATTGCGACACTTCTCCCGCGTCGCGGCATTTTATTTACAATAGAGAACACGAACTATAATACAACTGAATTAAACTATGTTAGAGATCTTTGATTTAGATGGTGTTGATCGCTCGACGGTCCGATCCCGACTCTTCGATTGTCCGTTGATAAAACACCTCCGTGGCAACCCCTCTCTTCTATTTTTCTTTAAGGAGTTGCTCACAACAGGGCAGTTTCACATTACAGCGACTTGATTTGGACAAGTCGCCGTAACAATATTATATATTTGACTGTACCTATTCTTCCTTATCTATAACACCTCTATTAATTATGAAGAATCGATGGAGCAATTGTACAGTAATTCTCCCTAATTGACGCTCAGCTTATACACAAAAATGGATAATGTGGGAAGAGGAGATGCGATTATTCGAGCCTCGCGGCTCGTTTTTATAGTTACCGATTATCAATAACTATAAAAACGAACCGTAAGGCTGGAATAATCGTACTTCCTCTTCCAAAATTGTCCATTTTTTTTCAATTAGGTCGAATTTACTGTAGTTCCAATTAGGTCTGATTGTATCAATTAATTAATTTATGTTAGTTTCGATTAAATCAGAACAAAATCTGTTAGCATCATTGAAATAAGTAATGAATGTTACTATCAAATATTTTATTATGTTAATGTTATTCAGACAGCATCATAGAAACGTGTTTGTGCATACACAAACATGCACATTCGGAACTATCTATAGAATATCTTTGTAGTGTGTGAAATTGTTGCCCTAAATACTACAAAAATTTCACTATAGATTCGAAGCTAATAATTTTTTCCATTTTATTGCATTCTCACTAAACCCCGTTGCTAATTAATTCCTCTTTTATCATTTTTATCAGCATATGCTAAAATAAGTTCACTTATACAACCCCCTGACAAAAAATTTCCGATCATATACACTAATATATACTTAATAAAGAATATTCTTATATTCATATATATGTTCTTATATGCAGGTAAGACGAATGGGGGACGTAGGTGGGATCTAAATAAAGTAAATAAGTACAACGTAACACAATTTTTCATTTATTATCAAAAAGAAACCACAGAGAAAACAAAATGTTATGTAGAAAAAAAGTTTCCGATCAGTACAAATGTTGGAAAAAAGAACACAACTCGTGCCTGTGAAAATGTGAACAAACGCTTTTATCGCTGAGGCATCTGAAATACAAAACATTTCAGTCAATGGATAAGTAAGACGGACGTGTGCAATATGCGATCGTGTAAGTTGTATTCAAACGATATAAAGTTAAGAGTAGTCGAACTTCTCAAGCAAGGTAATAGTTAGAGAGAAATCACAGAAATTATAGGATGTAGTCAGAATACGATAAGCGATATAAAGAAGTTATCTTGACGTAATCGTAAAAAAAAAGTGGTCGTCCTCGTGCAACAAGTAAAAAAGACGATAGAAAATTTCGTGCAATTGTTAAAAATACGAGGCGAGCATCATCAAAACAAATAAATGAACAGTGGACCACGAGCGAGGAAAGGCTTAAAGTGGTGTAAGGAACCCGCAAGTTGGACTGTGGAGAACTGGTGCAAAGTAATATTTAGTGACGAGACTCGTGTTTATCTTGGAGCAGAGAATGACGAAGGAAAATTTGTTTGGCGGAGATCTAATGAAAAATGTAATGAAGATTGCATGAGTTATAAACAAAAATATCCGCAATCTTATATGATATGGAGTTGTATGACGGAGAGGGAAGTGGGAAAACTATGAATTGTATACCAGAACGTGAACGCAGAAACATATATTAACATTTTAAAATATCTCTTCATTCCAACCATAGAGGAGTGGTTCGGAGTTTCTTCAGATTTCATTTTCCGAGATGACAACGCTAACTGTAACCGCGGCAAAGTAAAAGAATATTTAGAGCAAAATCATATAGAACATTGAAGATTCAATGTTCTATATATATTCTATTCTATTCTATTTTATATGTGTATATTCAATGTTCATAGAACATTGAAGTGTCCTGCGAACAGTCCCGATTTGAATCCAATCGAGAACATGTGGGCAAAATTTGAAAAATTGATTCACGAGAAAAAACCAAAAACTAAAGAGGAACTTCGACATGCCATAAAATTGTCATGGGAAGATATTTCGCCTAGGGTTTGTGAAAACTTAATAAGGTCAATGCCCCAACGCAGTAAAAATGTACGAGCACGTGGTAATGTAACAAAATATTAATAACTCAATGATTTATTTTTGAAAATAAATAAAAAATTTCGTTATTTTGTATTCATTTACTTTATTTAGATCCCACCTACGTTCTCCATTCGCCTTATCCGTATAAAAGAACATTTTATAATTCTAAAACGCGAGTGTCCTTCGTAAATTTTGTATAAGTGTATATGATTGGAAACTTTTTCCAGGAGTTGTACCATTTAGAACTTCAAAGTAATGTAAACTGAAAGAAATCACAATAATTGCTTTGAATACTTAGGACTCGTAAAAGTATTCGAAGGTACCCGATTGACTTCATTCAGTATTTTTCCATTAATTTGTACAATAAAAGAAATTGAGTAAAAACTTTTTAAGAACCTTAAGATATATTAAATTGTTGGTAACCGAAGAAGACATGTAACGATAGTATGTTATTTGTAATAATTGTGAAATCCTTTTTGCGAATTATATACACTCATACACGAAAGTATTCGAACGCTTACGTTTCTAACATTCAATTAATAAAATATATGTGTTAAACTGAAGCATTTGATATAATATGACACATATAACAAGGGATGGGTCTTAAGACTGCGTAAGCAAAATTAGAAAATAATTCAACAATATATAGCGTTTTTACAGTACATTTATTGTAAACACGTAACAGAAATGGCTCATAAAAGAATTCGAACGAAACAATTAACAGTTATTTAAATTGAACGATTAAAGGTTTTAATAGGAAGTTGATCCACCTTTTGCTTTTATAACAGCCCTAAGTCTATTTTCCATTGAGTGGACCAACTTAGAAGTAACCTTTGCATCTATTGATTGACATATTTCAATAATATTTCGTTTTAACGCTTCTTTCGAAGTAGTAACCGTATTTCTTAATCATCTTTCTACTTCATCTCATAAATGTTCAATGGGGTTTAAATCAGGACTTTGCGGTGGATGTGGCACCACGTGTGGAACGTTATATCATACCCATTCTTTGACTATTTTAGCGGTATGCTTCGGATCATTGTCAGACTGAAACCAATAATCGCTAGGTAAATTCAATTTTGATACACTGCTTTTTAAATTTTCCTGCAAAATTTTTAAGTATTTCGTTTTATCCATTATCTCATCGATGAACACAAATGTAATTATCAGTTCTGAGCCCGGGTTATTATACTGACATCTTCATTGATATTTCTGCAAGATAAATAGACCAATCTAATCACTTTTTTGAAAAATATTATTCCTTTTCCAAGATCTTCCCGAAGAGAGAGCTTTGCTTAAAGCAAAGTGACGTAAAGGATTTTAAAAAGAAAATCTTCCTATTTCTAAAAATTACTTAAAGTGGATTTCAAATGGATCGATATTTGGAAAAGATTATTTCAACTGGATCGATATTATATTTCTTTTCAAATATCAACACCAGAAATAATGATTCGAAACGAATAATATCAAGTAGTTATGTCTCATTTTCATTCCTAACACAATTTGCCCAAAAAATCTGTCAGATATAATACAATAAATTATACTGAACTCCTGAAGCTCCTTCCCAGCAGGATCCTAAGTCTCATTTGCTATCCGATCCCCTGCTACCAGAAAAAGGACATTATAGACCAGATTTTGCGCTCTACATCCTGATTCAAAATCAGATTCTGTAATGAACAATTGGTAGACATATATAGTTCGCGTCTACACAGTTTTAAACTACTGTGCGACGACACTAGTGGTATTTATAGTCGCAGCCAGGATACGCATACAGAATCGCGGAATGAATTCTTCCATCGCGGGATCGTCAGCGTGGCGCATTGTCCTAGCACGGGAAGGCGCTCGTTGCAAAACCGTTTCGATTAAGGTCACTGTTGATGAAATGCATTAAGCCAATATCTTTTGAAGAAACCAGCGACCGTGGCCGCGCGCTTTATCAGTAGATAAAAGCGCAAGTTAAGTGACGTGACATTCTAGAGTCCCGCGTCAACCAAAAACAATATTTGGGTCATTTTAGAATTTTAATTAACGCGAACAGCAGCCGTACCTTCGCCGTGATCTAGTCGAGAATGTAGCTACGACATGGCCGACCATTGTTGCTGATGGTCCTGAGACGCCATCTTGGAGGCAGTTTGCTTGGGAAACTCCACGGCAATTTGGAAACAGTAGTTAAGTTTCAAAGGTTTCGTCAGCAGTAGAAATCTTTTTTACGCATCTCTATTATTTCTTCATCCGATGAATGAAAATACGCTTGCAGCGTCTTGTTTATTACAGTCTTAATTACTGATTTAAATCCTGTCCAAACGAAATTCCCAACGCTTTCATTCAATTTTTAAATGTTACACGAATTTAAATACTTATTTACAAAATAATATGAATTTCATTTCGAATAATTAATCTTCATTGATCCTCAACAATTATTTATGAGATGTTATTCACTTTTTAAATTTAATTTGAATCGTATTACTAATAATTACAAGTAAGTGAATTTAATTTGCAAAAGAGTAAATTTTATTCGTAAATAGATGAATATGGTCTACAAAAGGACTAATTTTGACTGCAATACCTGTATCGATGTACGATTACGATGCACATACATATTTGATGCATCCTTTAGACCATTATCGATGAATTTATTCGTCTATATTTATGTCATCTATTTATAAATGATCAACTGATATTTTTGTACCAGGAAGAACAATTTAATATCA